CCCCCCCCTCCCCCTGCCTCTGAAATATACCAAGAAAAAAGGAGGAGGAGGAGGAGGAGGAGGAGGAGAGGAAGAGGAAGAGGAAGAAGAAGAAAGAGAGAGAGAGAAACATTGATGTGAGAGAGAAATATTGATGGGTTGCCTTCCGTATATGCCCTGAATGGGGATTGAACCCGAAACCTAGGTATGTGCCCTGACTGGGAATCAAACCCACAATCTTTTGGGGAATGGGATGTTGCTTCAACCTCCTGAGCAATCCGGCCAGGGTGAGGCTCTATCTCTTTTTATCTTGTCTAGAAATATCTTGGAGCTCTCTCTCTTCAGCATCAGACTAGGCATAATTCTTATACAGAGCAGAGAAAGTTTGCAATATTCTTACATGGAAAAGTGCTGTTCTTAAAATACCCCTCTTCCTATGTAAGATAAGGAATTGGTTAATAATTATAACTTACGATTCACAGAACATTTTAATATTTTCAGGTAGTTTTAGGTAGGATGACTCTCTTTGGCTTCTCACAGCAACCATCTTGGTGCTATGCTCTCCCTTTTACAAATGAAGAAACCAAGCAACAGAATGCAAACAAATTTTGCCCAGAATCTCATAACTAGTAATTGAGAAGGAGAGAATTGTTGGCCATGACTTCCAGACTCTCATCTAATTTTCTCTCCCCGACACCCTGCCCATGAACCCTCCACTCAAGATCAATTTCTATGTGATTAGTTGCCATCATTATGGATTATGTCTGGGGAAGCCCAGAGAAAAAGTGTGTAGGGGAAGAGAGAAGGGCAGCAATCACTGTTCCCATTTGATGTATAGTCATGCAGAGTCATCCCAGGCGCTGACAGTAAACCAAGAAGACAATTCAAGAGTGTGGGACACGTAGGTGTACAGTTCCTCCTGCCACCTCCTGGGGCAGGGCAGTGGCCCCAGAGCAGCCTTACCTGGTCCGCACTCTAACTTCTGGCAGGTGTGGTTGGTGGACGCTATGAAGTAGCCATTTGTGCATCGCGTGCAGATGTCTGCGCTGTGGCAAAGCTCACAGTTATCTGGGCAGGGTAGGCAGACGTGCTCCTCTGCAGGGTAGTGTCCCACTGGGCAGCTCTCCCGACACTCCCCCCAGTACAAGAAGCGCTGCTGGCCTTGCTTATCTGAAGAGAGAGATAAGCAACAACAACGAAAGGGAAAATGTACACAATTAACCATAAAACTAATACAACCAGGATATTTTATTTTAAAAAAATATGACCGAGTGCTTAGGCTCCTAGGGGGCCAGAAGTTTAAGAATGGATTTAATAAAAAGTGCAATGTCTGTACTTGTGATTGAAAATTTTTCCTTGGGCTCCTTTCAGGGTCTGTAGAAGCCCACAGACTTGAAGGCTAGAGATCCCCTGAGAATAAACAAATGCTTACATGTTTTTTATGACAGTGCAGTCTTTTAGAATGATTTTGAATTCTGTTATCAAAATCACATGCTTGTGTTAGCTGTCTGAATTTTTGTGCGGCTGCCAATTCCTACAGTGGCAGCCATTCAGCACTAGACTAAGCACACCTCTGACGCCTTCATGTGCATCCATGAATGTTCCTGAACTCTGCCAAGACTGGACTCTACCAGGAAAGAATCAGCAGTACCTCCAGCGTGAGACTATGGGAATTTACTCCTGGATGAAATGAAAACTTCTAATGAGTTACAAACAATTGCAGTTTATAAAAAGGATTATCAATATATTTTAAAATATCTATATCTATATCTATATATCTATCTTCTACCCTCACCCTCCTGGAGTTTTAGTTTGTGCTGAGTGTGTTTGGGGTGTCATCTTCTCTGAACCAGGTCTCCCATATGTTCCAGCTTTTGAAGAACAGCTGATCTGTGCTACCCACATAACTGGGGTCTACTGTTCACTCATCATGTAATCTACCACGTGAAGATCCAGAACCACGGGTCTTCAAAGTGCAGCTTGTCAAATTTGTGGGTAGAGATAGCACAGACCCCATGTTACAAGTTCAGAAACTGAAAGTTAGTATAAGGTTAGGTTGAACCACATGAAAGTGCCAACATTCAACTTTTTTTTAAACCTGTAAACTTGCTTAAACCATTCTCAAATGGTTTAACCTAATGTTTCCTATTTAATTGTTCAAATATAATAAAAAACACAATCTTGGATTATAGGCTCTAAAGCCACCTCTGTTCTGGTGGTGATTTCATGCCAGAAGTCTGTTGGTTTTTGTGGGAACAAAGAAAATAAAGAGGGCTTCCATGTAAGTGGTGGAGTAGAGTGTCTGCTCTCTTCATGTCTGACAGGAGAGTATTTGGGAGGATGTAATGTGCACGTGGTGATGCTGCCACTATGGACCAGTGTTGTGGAGCATAAAACCCTAATCTGGTAGAACCTGAATCTCAGGAGACCACACAAGGGTTAACCTTCCAAGTTATGTTCTCAGGCACATTATGAAAGCCTAGCAAACTCCAATTTCCATGGCTCATTCAGAGATGATCCTATTTCCCCATATGAGTGAAATCATATGGTTCAGCTTTTTCTGACTGACTTATTTCACTTAGCATAATATTGCCAAGGTCCATCCATGTTGTTGCAAATGGCAGCATTTCATCCTTTCTTATGGCTGAGTAGTAGTCTATTGTGTGTATGTAAAAGTGAAACTCGTGAACACAAACAGCAGTGTGGTGGTTGCCACGGGAAGAGGGTGGGAGGTGAAGGGGATCCTAATATATGGTGACAGGAGAAGATTTGACTTTGGATGGTGGGCACACAGTGCAATATACAGATCTTGTAACATAGAAACCCACACCTGAAACCTATCCTATATAATAAAAGGCTAATATGCAAATTATCCCCTCAACCGGGAGTTCGACCAGGGGGCAGGGCCGGCCAGCCAACTGCTTGCAGCCCCTCTCCCCGGCTGGCCCTGCCCCTGTACGCCACCCCCCCACCCCATCAGGGGTGGGGCCTGCCAGCCAACTGCCTACAGCCCCTCCCCCAGCCATCCCCACCCCCAATTGGGCCCCCCTACCCTGATCGGGGTGAGTCGGCCGGACCCCACCCGTGCATGAATTCGTGCATCAGGCCTCTAGTATGACCATATTAACCAATGTCACCTCAATAAAATTAATTAAAAAATGGAAAAAAAGAAAAGATCTTGTTTTTAAGAGGGCCAAACTTCTCAGATATAGGTAGGAAGAGCTGAGGGAGAGCAGTGGTAAGCCTACTCTCTTTCTGATCCACAGTTTTACATTCTCTACACTTTCACTTGACATCAACTCAGGATCCAGAGGCTTGGGGGCATTTAAGTACATATTTACTGAATGATTGAATAAGTGAATTAATATTTACCAATATTCCTATTTTCCCAACATTCCAAATGGATCTTAAAATACATAATGATAATGGGTTTAGATATTAGAGAAAATGTTTTCCAATCCCATTTTTATTGTTTAGACATGGCTTTATTATCTCTACAGCTTTGGATATTATAATTGGATTTAAAGGACAGAAATTTGAAGGATCTTGGTATTTTAAATATACAGACCCTGCAAAAGGTCACTTAGATGCCTTGTCCATGGCCAGCTTTCCCCATAGGCTTGGTCCAAGAGTATGCTAAGATTTGATCATTTTCCTAATAGCCTGAGTATTATGGCAGCTCACTTAGTTGGGTCTGATAGTTTGGATACCCCATCAACTTAAATCCTGTGCATAAATCTGAAAGGGATTTTAGATGCCATTTTATCTGTGCTTCTCTTTTTTGCAAACAAGGAGAGACTTAAAGAGGTAAAGTGAGGAACTAGAACCCAGGATTTCAGACTGCTGGTACTGATGTTCTTTCTACTGATTCATTCATTCATTCATTCAGTTATCTTGTGTGCCTTCCATATGCCAGATACTGTGCTCAAAATACAACAGAAAACAGGCAAAACCATTCACTGCTTTTACAAGGCATAGTCTTATGGATAAGATAGGTATCAAGTGAGAGGTGGCTTGTAATGTGAGAAGTGCAGGATTCCAAGGATCCTCCTATGAGGGGGACTTAACCTAGACAAGGAGGGTAGGACAACCCATACTGAGGAAATGCCGTTGCAACTGAGATCTAACGGATGAATGAATAGAAAGAGGTCAGGCAGACAGTGAGTGGGGAACATCTCAAGTGAAGTCTTTGAACAGCTAGAGAAATCAAATGCCCATGGGGATAAGGAAGTATAAACAATAACAGTAGTAATAACAATAAGTTAATATTTACTGAGTGCTTCTTATATGCCCATCCCTGTTCTAAGTGGTTTATTATTCTATCTCACTAAGTCTTATTTCATTTTCAGAATAATCCTAAGAGGGGCAACCATGATCACCATCTTATAAATGAGGAAGGAAACAGAACAAGCAGGCTGGAGGTAAAATTTGACATAGATATAGTACTTTGTTTACATAAAAACTCACAAATAATTTAAATTAAAATTATGCAAATAAATGTGTTATTTCCTATTTTTCCACAAAAGCATGATACTATCAATTTGTGCTTATTTTTTCTCAATTTTATTATAAGCAAGAATAAAGATAAATAATCCTCTTTCCCCAGAAATGCCATGTAAGTATGCTGATGGTGGTAACTGACAGACTCAGAATCAGTGAGAAACTGGGAGTGGTGGGAATTGTGGAGAAATGCTCTCAGGCCAACCATTTAGGTAATGTGGACCCAGTGTCGCTAGATCTTCCAAGTTTTTAAGCGCAACAGAAAACCCAGGTTTTTCTTTGAAATTTCCCAATTTTAAAATTAAGGTAAGCTCTAACTGGTTTGGCTCAGTGGATAGAACGTCAGCCTATGGACTGAAGGGTCCCAGGTTCAATTCCAGTCAAGGGCATGTACCTTGGTTGCAGGCACATCCCTAGAAGGGGGTGTGCAGGAGGCAGCTGAATCTTTCTCTCTCATTGATGTTTCTAACTCTCTATCCCTCTCCCTTCCTCTCTGTAAAAAAAATCAATTAAATATATTTTAAAAAATAAAATAAAATAAAATTAAGGTAAAATATGAATCTGTCCCACATGAGGTCAAAGTAGGGGTCAAACGTCAGAGGACCTTTAACATCGTGGAATATAATTCAGCGACAGCATAAACTTTGAGTCATTAAAACAGACAGGGAAGGTCATATTTGTGTTTTGCCGTGGTTACTTTGTTCCCACAGGGCGCTGACAGCTTCTAAGTGGCATAGCTCTTGGCTGAAGAGAACTTGACACAACCTCTATTACAATATTTCTCTGAAAAGACTGAATGTGTCTGCCTTAATTTCCTAGCTTTTCACTTTTACCACTACAAACCTTAGCTTAACTGTCTCTCTCATGGCTGATGTCATGTTCTCATGCCCCTTCTTTCTCCTTCCCTGGAAAGACATCTCGTAGCTTCTCTCTCATTTCAGGGGCAGCGAGTTTCCAATAATGTAAACTTGTGTCCTGACAGCAAGCAGCAACTTCAAGGTTGTACACACACTCTAACGAACAGCTGCCTAACCTCAACCCCTTCACTCCAGGGATGAAGCTTCTGAGTCAAACCAGACAATGTCCCTGGGAGAACAGGTTTGAAGCAACGAAGAACAAGTGACCAAAAAGACTCCCTCACCTACTCCACAGGAGGTGCAGTTGGAAGGCTCGTTTCCCTGGCATTCTTGGCAAGTGTAGTGGCATAGATGGCATTGGTTCTTCAATGCAAATTTTCCCGAGGGACAGTCCAAAACGCAGCGGCCATCATCCAAAACCCTAGAGGAAAAGCAGACTTTCAGAGTTTGTAAGGGTGACTTTCTGGAATAGCCTTCAGTTTTAGAACATGTGGTGTTCATGTTTCACCTCACAAACTTGGTTTCATTGTTCCAGAAACAAGGGGGATGTCTGGGACTGATCATCTTAGACCATGTGGAATATTAATCATGTACCCATCCTTGCTTGGCTTGAGGGTTGGACCCCACAGCAGCCGTGCCAGAAACTGGCTGGCGATGCAGTCCTGATCTGGGTTGCAAATAAGTTAACCAGTGCCCGCAGGGATTAAACCCGTATTGTAGGCCCCAGACAGTCCCAGCCCACAGTTAGAGGATGGTCTTTGAATTTTCAAGACACTCAATGGTACTTCGAATACAGAGACCTTGGAGAAAACATCCTTCCTTTAGATATGAGCATGCTCACACTTTGCAAGGCAGATGTCAGCTCTAAGGGCTCCAAGAGGATAGAGTGAAGCACTGTCCTGGGTTTAGGTGCTACTTATAAACTTGGCCTATGCTTATGGCAAGTATGTGTGTCATTTTTACAAGCATCTCCTGAAGCATAGGGTACCGTATCTTTATTTTCTGACCATGTTTTCAGTCCCCTATAAGGGCATTGGAAATAAGTTAGCAGCTGAGCTTCTAAAACCTTTGGTTTTATACACATACTAGAGGCCTGGTGCCCGAATTCGTGCACAGGTGGGGTCCATCCCCCCGGCTGGAGATCAGGACCAATGGGGCCATTTGGCCAGGGGAAGGGATGGCAGGAGGTTGGCTTTGGGACACACTGACCACCAGGGAGCAGCTCCTGTGCTGAGCATCTGCCCCCTGGTGGCCAGTGTGTGTCATAGCGACCGGTCGTTTGGTCATAACGGTCGCTTAGGCTTTTATATATATAGATGTCATGGCTAATATTTCCATAGTTTTGCTTCTGTTTTACCCTTGCACAGTAATCCTAAAATTGTTTGTGGTTAAGTGAACTGTATTCAAAATGTGTCCCAAGTGCAAGACTCAGATAGGTAATGTGAATAGATGAGGTGAGCTGGGGAGGGGGTGGGGCGGTCCAACCCCCTGAGCTTCTAATTCATTAGGTCCAGCATGGAGAGAGCTGAGAAATTGTATTTTTGACCAGTTCCTGGGTAACATTCACACTCTGGTCTAGAGAACACACTTTGAGAATTGCTGCTCCACCTTCTGCTCACTGATAGTCTGAATGGATTGCTATGGAGTTTGCTAAATGACTCCTATCTAATACAGGTGGTACCAAATTGGTGTCTTGTAGAGTGTCTTTAGAGTAGCAGCCAATGTATCAGTTGGATGATTAACTGAGCATGTAGTACGTACATGCCCCCAAGGGCACACTGCTGGCATCCAAGTTTCAGAGAACTAAGGGCCTGCAAAAAAGGCAGAGTTGCCTTTTCTCTCCACCACCTTTCTCCACTCGGACTGGATGCACGTGGAAGGCCAGGTGTAGGCCTCATGCCACTTGTTCCTGGGGTGGCACTGGCCCTGTTTCCATAGGTAGAGCCAGCCCTAAACTGAGATAGGCATTTGAATTCCAGGCTTGGAGGAAATTGGGGTGGGGCAAGGCATGCTGAATAGTGTGTTACTTGCAGCCTTCCATCTTGTTCCTACTCCCTGTGTCCTTTGCATCTGTTTGGAAACAGAATAGGATTAAAGCCAACAGCATAAAACAGAAGGCTGCCTCACTCCCCGT